ACCCTCAAGCAGATCAAGACTACCACCCAACTTGCTGTCATCTGCACCAAATTTTGACCCACCAAAAGATGATTCCTCAGAGAGACAGCATTGCTCCTGCCCCGCTACATCTGTGTTGTGCCTGCCTCCCCAGGCATTAGCTCCAATGCCACCTGGAAAATCCCAGTTGGGATGACCTGGCCTGGTTTCCCACACAGCCGATGCAACCGGAGCTAACGAGCCCTGCCAGCAGTGCCATGTATGCTGGGACGTGCTGTCCTGCTCTCTGTGTTTGTTTTAGGGGATTAGGAACATGCCTAAACCCAAGCGCATGTTGGAAACGATGTTTCACACGCAAAGCAGCCTGGTTTGGAGGGAAATAGCAATGTTTCTGTGATTAAATGAAAATAATTGGGGTTAAATGGGGACGAAAATGAAATTTCCTTGCAATTACTTGGATTTATTATAAGAAAGAATGACATACCTTGTCAGTTTTATCTGCTCTCCGCTGTTTGCCCTTTATGCTTTTTCTCCTACTTTTAGAAATGAATTTGGGCTCCTTTGCCTCATTAATGAGAGATTACCTAGCTTGGCGAGAAGTTTTGTGTATTATAAATGGGCTTTACTGATACAGCTCTGAAACACCGATGTGCTCTTCAGTTCCAAAACCCCCTTCTGCTAAAACCCAAACAGAATAACAAGGCTATTTCCCTAAATTATAGTTCAAACATATGGAAGTCATTCTCTTCTCTAATGGTTTTGGTGTTAAGAAGCACAGAAAGCTGCTAAGACTCTCTGCTCAGTGTAAAACCTCCTTTACTATATGGTTCTTCCCGAACTACCCAGGTAGGGTTGTTAAATCAGGATGGTGCTTGGGATTTAAGAGAAAATAATACAGCTTATTTGATACACTTTGCTCTATAAGCACCCACTTTCAAAAAACCCAGAAAATCCTACTGTAAAGTCTAAGGACAGAAGGTGGTTTTGGGTGCAGATCAGCATCTGAAGTATCCACTTCAGCTCTCGTGAGACACATAAACCTTGCAAAAGTTTAACCAGTGACTGAAATAGCACAACAGAGACTGGTGGTGATGGTGGTGAAAAGGGGACAATCCCAAGATTTCCCCTCTCCTGTTTCCCTCTGCCATTCTCCTCTTTCTTCTCTTCTCCAGCCCAAAGTCCTGGAAAATATGGTTGCTTGTCATATGAAGCCACTCTAGTTTTTGGATTTTCCTTGTTGCTTCTCACTATACATTTCCTATTAGGCACTTTTTTTGAGACGAGGAATAACTGCACACTGCATCCCAGAAACGGGCATACCTCATACTTAGCAGTGTAATAATGGCCCTTTCCTAACAATTTCTACCACTTCACCTACCTTTTTGGTTGCAGCTAAGTGTTCAGCCAATGTTTTCACAGAATGATACGGTGTAACCTCTCTATTATCATGATACTAGGTTGATCCAATTGATTGACTAATTGACCACTAATTGTATACAATGATATTAGCTGACTGATGCCAGCTCAGAGCATCTCATTTCATGTGAAAAGATAGGACTGTTTTTCTTTTCCCCCATTAATATATTTTTACATTACCTATATTGTATTTAATTTATTTTTGTTGTCAGTCACTCACTCAGCATCACTCAGCCAAATCTACTCTTTACTGTTCATACCCATTTGCATTCTGTCCTTGCAATTTGTTACTACTCATTTGGCTCCTTCACTTCTTCTTGTCATTCTCTGGATCTATCAGGAAAAATTGATTCAGCCACAAGAGCATCCCTAAATTCCTCCACAGTGAACACAGATGCCGTAAAGCCCCTCTTTGCCTCCAGTTCTGGCTTCATCTGCTCTGGGAACCCCTAGCACTGGCCCTGCAGACGTTCTGGCAGCCTTCAAGCTCTGATGTGTTTGCAAAAGCAGATGTTATTAATTTGTAAAGCATCTTCGAACTACTCATGGGGGGCTGCCACATTTGGTGTTGTTTCTAACCAATTGCTTTCCTCATTTGAACATTTCTGCTTTCTTTTTTTTTCTTTTTTTTTTTCCCCAGGATGTTTTTTGGGTTTCTGTACCATCCCTTGCCAACCCATCTAGCTATGCTAAGCTCCTCTGCACTTCTGCACCCCAGTCTCCCCTGTGTAGCTCTTCAAAAGGAACCTACTTAATCATGCCTTTCACATTAATTTGGAAAATGGCATGAAATTTTGCCCTTTTTGTGGGTTTCCAGATAAGCTGGTCCCTGAAATAGCTACAGAGTGGGTCTAAAAATTAGCATCTGTGTCAGGCCCTGTGTGATGTACACCAGCCTGAGTGGACGTAACCCAAATTCCTCTTCGCACTCGTGTTTTCTGCCCATACAGTCTCCCTGGCCACTCTTTGGATACTGTCACCAGCAGGGACAGGCAATCAATGGTGACACTTTAATAGCATTTTTATTTGGGCTTGGCATCCCCTGTGACCTGTTGAGAGGGTTAACTTTTCATCTGATCTGACTGCTAGTCCTTATCTCTGGAAATGATCCAAAAGCAAGAAGGAATGAAAGGAAAAAACTCGCAAGGAACCAACCTTTTTTGGTTTTATACCCAGAGGAGACATTTTGGGTTGCATTTGGATTTTGCATTTGGGGGTTTTATTTCTGTCTTCTTTGCAAAGTAAAATAAAATTCTCACAAAACTGACAAGGAGAACAAAATTATTTACTTTTTTGTTTTTTAAGCTAGAGAAAGGGGGAAATAGGAAGACAATTCCAATTTTTCATCAGGAGAGAAAAATATCAGCCAAAAGAAAAAGATTTTCAAGACTGTGTTTGGAAAATTTGTAAGAGTAGCAAAGGTGCAGCTATATTAACTATATTTTCTCAGCTTTATACAAACACTTATAAAACATGAATGAATACCAGAGGGAATATTTTTATTAACAAAAAATTAGAACACAAGCTTTAATACCTATACCAGGAAAAACAGTTCATTTATTTAAACAGCAGTTTAGAAACAAAGAAACAAACCAAAAAAGAATTAGTTACTTTCCTATGGATTTAAATTTTGGAGTTAAAATCTCTTGATGGCTTCTAGGGAAGCCTTACGTCTGTAGTAATTCTCAGGAAACAGCATTGCTGACTACAGCACAAAACAACTCAAATTGTGCTGATTCGGTAGGCAAAGCCTTTGAAACTGATGGAGCTTGTGGAGGAGTCAGAACCTGAAGAAATGCCAATATTATTTCAAGGGCGGGGTGGGAGGGAGCTCTATTTCCAAAAGGAGCAAAACTGGAGGGTAATTAAACTCAGCAGCATCCTAGAAGCCAACACAAGGCTTAACTTCTGAGTTCAGCTTGGACTAAAGCTCAGCGTGAAAGCTGATACCGGCCTTTTCTAGCACAAGGATAGTTAAAGCATGGTCCAACAGGGCTGTAGCCTCAATATACTCTAATTTTGAGTGCTGAGACACAGTATGGAGACCATGCAATGATCTGGTAAAGTGTGGAAAGTTAAAAGCAGAGCGGTGGTTTGCATATTATTATTTCTGAGGGCCTCACCTCTATGTTAAAGATCTTCTGGATCAGTCCACCTTGTACAAATCGGGTTTAGCCCTGGCAGATTGTCAGTGTTGCCCAGGGCTGGGCAAGGGCTGGCTGCCCCTGTCAAAAAGCATGAAGCAGATCTGCGCTTGGGTCTCATGCTTGGAGTAAGAAAAACTGTTCTGAGAAGGGAAGAAAAACACAAAAACTCTTCTACCCTTCTGTCCTTATGGTGCCCTGTTATGAAGGACGATTGGTTGAGTACCAAGACCCAAGACATGCTCTGGTATATTAACACAGCTGAAAACATTATCAGCCACAGATATTGATGCCTTAACCTATGCTGTTTGAGCAGAAGTCAGTTTGTAAGTTTAGTAGATGATGGACTTTTTTCTTAGCAAGATAACCAAGAAACAGTATTTACTTCATATTTTAAGAAATTAGACTATATCAAATGTGTAATAAAAATATTTTCTATAGGATTTTAAAATATATACATATATAAACTACCTTAATTTTTAATGCCCTGTTGATATTGATGTGGTCTCTACAGTATCTAAGTGTAACTAAGTGAGGCTGCCCAGCAACCTCCATTATACCTCAAACAGTGATTACAAACTTGAAGCCTTGTCCACGCTGCAAATTAAACCTGCTTGAAAACAGGATCTGAAATTGTCTGTTGAGCCTGATCCAGCACCCACTAACAGTCAGGCAAAGTCCACTCCTGACTGCAGGAGCTGGATTAGGTCCTAGACACAGTCCTGAAATGATGTGGTTTCCAACCCTGTTGGCTGGGCAATGATAAAGGCACCTGAGGGAGTTACTGAGACCCTTAAGGCACTTCCTGGTAAAATAAAAAATATTAGATATTTTATGTAGAATATTTAGGGATATTTAGAAACAGTCTAAAGACAATTTAGGCACATCTATACTTCATTTTGAAGAGGGGCCCAAACTGACTGTGTCTTGGACGTAGCCTTTGCTCAGACACTGGATGTAGACTTTAGTGAAGCTTAAGGGAGGTTGAGAGCTTGGGGGTGATGATGGTGCAAAGAGCATTCATGCCTGCATCTTTCCCACAGCATCCATCTCCATATACCCCCCGGCCTCGCTTGCCCAGTCCATCTGGAGGAGGTAAGTTAGCAAGCAGAGCTCCCGTGTCAGGTGCCTGCAATGGCCCATGGGGCTGAACTGGCACTTTCATCAAAGAGAACCTAAAACTGGTGATGGAGGTGGAGGGGGGTGAGGGCGGAGAAGCACAGATTACTGTCTGGCCCTGTGTCCACTGAGGACAGCGAGGACATGGCTTTGGGCTGTGCCTCCAACACACAGCCCAATCCGGTTTGCATTCTTGTTTAATCTAGCACTGTGTCTAAAGCAAGTTCAGATTCATTTTCCACGCAAGGTTTGAAGCACAGTGTAGACAAGGTGTGAGGGCCAGATCCTGATCTAATGCAGGCAAAATTCGCCATTACCATTGGCCTGAGCACTTACCCTTGATTATACTTTAAGGTAGGTAGCATGGGAGTTCTCCTGCTTCAAAGAGTTAATATAGGGGATTTGACCACCTGCCGAGGAAAGTTTCTCGCTGAGCTTTCGGTTCATCTGCTCCATATGCCTGGTGTTTTTCCTGGCTTGCCGGAGAGACCTCTTGACTTTCTTGACCCGATCTCGCAGCTGCTTGTTGCGCTTCTCCAGCGTCGCCACTTTCTGCTGCAGCTTCTTCACTCTGTCCTCCTCCTCAAACAGGGCTTTCTGGACCGAGGAGCACATGAGCTGAGGGGACAGCAGAAACGAAATAGCAACAGGTGAGCTTTACACAAAAACCTATTAAAGCAAGGGTTAATTTGGGCATTCCTTGAAACACCTCACAGCTCTTCAAAAGTAGAGTGCCTTTTTTTTGGAAGTTCTATTCTTTTTTTATACCTTTTTTAGTAAAATCCTCTCTTTCACTTCTGTATTCAGATAAGACCTGAAATTGTAGATCTTAATGATACTAGTGATTCACAATTACTTTTATGAACTGTTTTGACAGACCTGTCCAGCCCACTGAGGCTACATTGAATTTATGGAGGAAGGCTGCCCTATTTCTGGTATGAAACTGGAATTCAGGCCAAGGCGTGTCACTTTTGGAAAACTCTAGATTTGATTCAGCTTAGCAGCCCTTCAGAAACCCCAGATTTTGACAGGAGCCTGCCTTTTGCTGTTTATGTCAAATAAGGACTGCACCTGCAAAAGGCAGAACTGGTTGGTTTTGCCTTTTGAAGAACTGGGTTGTCTTAAATGTCTCATTTTATGGGCTTCTTTCAGATGAAATCCTAAAGGGTAAAATCTCAGCAGTCTCTAGGAGCATTCAAGACCCCTTAACTTTAACAGAAGTGATTGTTTTGGCAGGGTCTTTGGTTGAAAACTGCCCCTCCCATTCTATCCACTACCAACTTACTGCAATATTGCCCCCAGTAGGGATATCAAGCTCTTGATGTCCACTCATGCCTGTGGCCCTTGGGCAAAAAAAAAGAAAAGGAGCCAAAGGTGCTGCACTCAAGGCAGCACTAGAAGAGCAGCTCATAGAAGCATTTTCAAATCCGCCGGGTTGGATAATGGTCCAAATGCAAAACATCTGTTGGAGAATTGTTCTTCCTCTGCTACCTCATCCTAGGATGACCCAGAGGTCTATCTCATCTCAGCTATATGTGATTGCCATGTTTACGGTCTCCTGTTTCTGACTTGCTTCCTATTCGCAGGTGCAGCTGTAGGAATGGGATGAGAAACACCAGCTACAAAGGCTGCTGACTAGTTTCAATGCAAAGAAGTTGTGTTCCTGACGGATGGTGTCACATGGGACGGGATTCAGCTGCCTTCTCTTAAGCAGCTAAAAGTGAGACTCAGGTCTGGGCTCCTCTCTTCCAGTTTCCCCTGGAATATCTGCAGGGAGAGACCCTTCAAGAGGGTGATCTCCACCTCCTAGGGCAGTGGGAAGAATCACCCTCTGAACACAAGTCCCCCATTTCACTGACTACAAAGGCACCAAGTTCCATGTTTTCTACCTGGGCAACATTTTCCAAGCAGAAAAAGAGGAGGTGCCTGGGGCTCAAGGACAGCCTCACCATAAAGTTTCTAATCTAGAGGACCCCCCATCAAAATCTATTTCTGCCCAGGGTGATGTGCCTCCTTCCTTCCTTTCCTACAAAAAGCATCCTGAGAGATTTTATTGTGCAAGTGGGACGTTCAGCTGATTGCTCCACTGGTGCACTGTGAGGAAAGGCAGCGTCTTCTGCTGGATTTATCTCCTATATACATCTAGATTTTTTTTATGTGTCAAGCACTCCTGGAGCCTGGATGGGCTTTCTCTGGCAGAACATTTGGAACAGACAGGGAAACTAAATAAACAAGTAAATCCTCACTGTGATGATGAAGGATTACATGTTTCTTTCCATCTTACTTTGTAGTATTTTTAACAACTGGAAGTAGGGGAGGGAGCCCGCTTTGACGAATAACACTTCATTTGCTTTGGAAACCCCCAGCAGCCGAAAACCATGGCCAGTCAACACAAACACAGCAACTGCTTCCAGTCCCCATAAGCTCTTGTTTCTTGTGCGAAAGCACTGCAGGGCTTTGCTAAAGGCAAATTCTTGCCCCAACCATCCTCTCACTAGGGCTCTTTTATAAACGCATACTAGGGAGACTGGGAGCTCACAGATAGAGGGCCAGAAATTGCACTGAAGAGGAGGGAATTTGGTTTTGATCACAGCTCATTCCAAGGGTTATTTGAAAACAGCCAGCATATCTTGGCTTTTGTGTTTGCCAAACCCTTGCAAAACTTCAAGCAGAACACTTCTTGAATTTAAATCCCTGCAAAGGAGAGCACTGAGTTAGGAAAAGAGGTTTGTTGGGAAGACAGGAGGTGGAAACTCTACTTCATGAGGGATTTCTTGCATTTTCCATTGGTGCAGTGAGAGCTATAGCACATGACAGAGTCCAATGCAGAGGAACAAACAATTTGTGCAGCTAGCTGAAGTGTGAGGTTGTGCAAACCCAACCGTGTCTCATCTGTCTGGGCTGGCTCGTGGGGGAATGTCTGATAGCAGACATCAGGGATGGTATTAGCCTCATCCCAGAGGCACTCCCAAACCTTTTGAGGTTGGTCCTCTGTCAGCAGAGGTAGTCCAGCTCTACAGAGCCACTCAGAAACTTCTCAAACACCATCAAAAAGCTAGCTAGCTCATTTGCTCATGCTGTTCCTCTTCCAGATCCTCACTCTCCAGTCAAACCCATGGTTTAGTGCTTAAATTATCTGGAGGTATCCAGAGAGATCACTGGAACAACACAGTTATAAAAAACTGAGGTACTGTTGGACACGCACAGCTTTATTTACCAGCAGGGTAGGTGATAGAAGAGCCCAGCTTGATAATTGGATGCCTGCCTGCAACTGCAAGACTACCAGCCGAAAAATAAACTATTTCCTCCTTCTACATGGGGAAAAATAACAAGGTGGAGTCCTCACGTTCTCACCTGCTGGTTACAAACAGCATTTTTCACAGGGATCTGCAGTGGGGATGATATTTAAATGTGAGTGCTGTCCCAGCCTTGCTGTTACTGCTAGGGCTGCAGTTCACATGAGTGCAACCGAGTTATTTTTAAAGTGGTGCTGAGAACTGTGTAACTGCAACAGCCAGGGGCTCAGCACAGCCTGTATAACTAACCCAGCTGCTGAACAAATAAGTGAGAAGTTAACCAACCCTCCGTCTGTGTTGCTACTTGAATACTTCTTGTTTACAGCCAGATGAGATATCCCTGCATTGCGCAGTCATTCCTATGGAGCATATCTACAGACAAGAATTTCACACCCCATTTTCTCTGGTCTCGTGCACCCATAAATGTGCACAGTTTGCACTGATGACCATCAAGATCAGACCTTAGTCCAAAGGAACTGCTAAAAGCTACAGAGAAGTGGATTTTGTTTCTGGCAGTGGCCTGTGCTCCCACTCCCCATCACAGCTTGCCATGTCAGGTGCACTAGAGAAGGTGGGGGGGGTGTTTATGCAATGTTTAAGGGACAATGAAATCTCCATCCATACCTTACAAGGTAAGTAACTGAGGAGCCAGTTCCACTTGGTGCCACTGAAAGAAAGGATAGGAAAGGATGGATAGCTGACAACTCCTATTCCCACAAGTTATCAGCTGCAGACAGTAAAGCAAGAGCTCTGAAATGCCACACTTAGCATGGCATGCATGCCCACAGACCTGGGAAATGGAGAGAAGGACCAAACAATGGCTCCTCAGAAAAACTTATGAATTATTTTCCTAGGTTTCCTTCAACAGTTACATTTTCTAGTGACCCACAGTTCAGAAGAATTGTTTGTTCTGGAGATCGCTGTCTGCATGTCCAGTTGTTCCACAGTTTTGTTAGCAAGGCATCCTCAGCAGTGGTTAAACTTGAGTCCAGAGCAGTACCAGGAGATGTAACACGAAAGGTAGCACTACAAGAACCATAGAGCTCCTTAGGATTTATCCCACACAGCCTACAGCTGTGAAACCACAAATTAAATATATTTGAGTATTTGTCTGAAACATCCTGTCACAAATATACTCAGTTTTAAGTTTCACCACATCTAGATGATTTACAAAATCTGTCCATCTGCCAAACAAATCAGCACTGTAGCAAATCAAGTTGATTTTCGGAGTGTCACATTACAGGCATGTGAGCCCTTTACCAAACACCCTGAATTGACGTATATATACGTTTGTCTGATTGACAGACACACACATCTGCCTTCTATAAGCTTCATTTGAATGGGACAGTGGCTAGGAAATGCCCCATGGATAAAGGCACGACGGTAGTGTTCATCCACCACAAATTGTCCAGAAATGGCTGAAGTTAGCATTACAGAGCTCAAGTCACTCAAAACCTAGCAGTGGCACCCAAGTCTTGCGCTTCACCTACCAAAGGCAGAGAAGTTGAGTTCTAGCTAGCTCCTCATGCACGCTCCCTCTGGGCACCACTGCTAAAAAGCTCTGGAGGCCCACTACCTAAAAGTCTTTCGTTTCAGGTCTCCAAAAATATCTTTCACATCACAGAGTATTTTTGGACATTTAGATACAGGATGTCATCAGGCAAGATGACGGTAGGAATATCTTTAAATGTGTGACAGTGAGACCTGGTCTCTGCATGGATGTGACGTGTTTTTAAAAGACCTGGGCATGGGTCACTTTGGTTTCTTGCCCTCAAATCTTCCTCCTGACCCATACTGCTAACTGGAGCATCCCAGACCCAGCATCGCCCCAGCACAACCTATTGGGAGTGTCTGGTGGAAGAAATGAGACTGGAAACATAGCCCAAGCACTGCAGGTTGGGAAGCACAGCTCCTGCTCTGCTGCTGAGCCTCCTCCGCGCTGCATCCCAGTGAGCTCACCGCATCCCCGCACCGCTCTTCTCTTCCCTTCCCTGCTATAAAGCTGCTTTGCAGAAAAGGTAAAAACTGTTCGCATTTGCTGCACATTGACTTGCTGCTCTGTGCTTTACCGCTGTTCAAATTATATAATACATCTTAAAATGAAACCTTATGTAGCACAAAGTGCGTACCTCCAGCTCTATTTGTCTCAGCAGAGCAATAATTCATGAATTGTCTCTCAAGGGGCTCAGGAGCCAAACATAGTTCTTTATTTTCTTTAACTCCACCAGGATTTATTTCCCCAACCCCTTCTGTGCTCTTAGCAAGAGGAAGGTCTCTGTGCCCTGGGGAAGCCGGTAAGGACACGATACAGCTCATGCAGAT